GGGTTACGGGGGATCGAAGGGAGTCCGTTAGCGGCCGGTTCATATTCATATATTACGCGTGGAACGAGTAGTCAGCGCGTGGTCGATCATCCGTCAAACGGTGTAAACGCTTTAACGGGCCGTGGGCAATTCGGTTATTACGGGCGTCGTTGTAATCGAACGCAGGCGGGACGCACACCGGTGTCGACCGGCCTTCGTCGAGGCCCTCTACCCCTAGCGCCGCTTTCCAAAGCCCCGCGTGCCGAGTGGCCCTCCCTCTCTCCTCCTCCTCCTCGCTGCATCGATATCCCCCGGCCCCCGTAATCCAGACTTGGTCCGGTCTCATCGACGCGCGTTGTTTTCAATCAGCGACAGTTCCACACCCTACCCTCCTTTCCAGCCCCCCGTCATTTTATCCTCGTTTATCCCGGCCGAAGCGCCCGCCATTCGACGCCGGCCGACCGGCTAACACATTGGCGTTAACGCGCTAATGCGATACGTACTTTATGTACGGAGGGAGAGAATTGAACCACCCGTACGCAACAAACGATATAACGGCGATTTCCGGCAAAGTTCCGACCCTTTCTCTCTCTTCTCTAATTCCTCCTAACCGTACCTTCTTTCCTTCTTTCCTTCTTTTCCCCACATCGGTTAACGAAGGCGCGCGCGTATGCGATAGACCGAAAGCTGCAAGAACCACGAGGACGCACGAGGACACACGAGGACGCGCGAGCGAGCATCCAACACCGTCGCTGTCACGTATCCTTGGACTTTGTCGTTATTAATTGTCCAACCGACGAAGCGAAGAGCGAAGATAATGTGGTTGCGCAACAGGTACTACACCACACCTGTGTCTACCGCGTTGCATAATCGCGGCTAAGGACGGTGTATGTGAAATCCGTGTACGCGTGTACCGCGTCGGGAAAGGAATTGACCATAGGAAACTGCGCGAGCAACGACATTTACCACGACCCTTATCTCCCTCCCTCCTCGGTTCCTTTGGAAAATTCATAAAGAGGGAAAAGATCGAATCGGAGGGATTTAGACGAAAGGCGGTAGAAGCGGGGAACGAATCTCCTCTGGATGCATCGGCCGAGACGGCCACGTCCGCCGAACAATGCTGCCGAGACGATAATTCTATCGTCGGGCACGGAAACTAGTTGGAAATAAGCCTGCCGCGTAATCATTTCTAGAAGATTGAAGCCGCTCCAAGTATTTCGACCGGGAGTAAATCGATGAACGTCGATGAAACTGAATTAACCACATTGCCATTATTTCCGCGGCGCGGTGCTTATTCCCCGAACGAGATCGAAAGTTTCCGATTTTCACGTGCGTACATACGTGCGATCGCGATCGCGACCAAGGAGGAGCCTATTCGCGGTCTGCGTGTGAGTTAATGGGATCGATTTTTGTCGCAGATTGGAATCAACCCAGGACTCTTCGCCGCATACAAGGGCCACCACTACGCCGGACCAGGGAACCATTTCTGTGAGTTGCACACACACGCTTTCATATTTAACCGTAAAGATCGGTTGGTTCGTAACGAGTTAGCCGTTCGAAGTTGTTACGTAGGTTGCCGAGTGCGCCGCACAGTGGTAGCGAGTTTCGGTTTCGCGGAACGCGGCCTTCGTTCTCGAGAGAAATCGCGCGAGATCCGCGAACGCGATTAACAACGGCGAGAAGCCGCTGCACGGAACGTAAATTACCGGAGCCGGTTCGCGCGCGCAGCGCTCTGCGAAAAACTCGGTCGTTCCCCCTTTTTTCCTCGCGCGTTGGTGCGCGCTCGACGCGATCGACCGAACAACGGTCATCGGTTATTTTTAACGCGGCGGCTTCTAACCACGCGTGGAACGACGGCTCTCGCCGACGCGAAACGCCTGGCCAAACTCGTTTTTTCTCATTTTTCGGTGGGAGAATCGTTTTCCGACGGAACCAAGCGCGGCTCCAATCGGTGGAAAGACTTGGAAATCTCGTCTGGCACTACTACTTGCCGAGTAGTGGTTTCGGATCGTGGCGAAGACGTACGTTCCGATTCGAAAGGAAGATTGTTCGGGGAACGGTAAGCCCGCACTCGGCAGGCCTTCGACGAACAAACAATCTCGCGCGCTCTCCGGCCGAGCAATGCCTATTAGGCGGCGCGCACGCATGTACGCGCGTGCATTTTACGCCCGGTCTCGGTGTACGCGATACGCGCAGAACCTCCGGTACATACGGAGTACGTAGTACCTGCATATAACGGCGCGCGCGCGCGCGCGCGCACGCGAGCGAGCGAGCGCACACATAGCCAGTACACATACAGGGTGAAGTTAGGTGTACGCTGCTGGATTTTCCAGGGTTTTCCCGGGGTTGCGGTAGAGCAGTGGATGGGGTGGCGTGTAGGAGGGAGGAGGTGGGATACGAGCGGGTTGAGGCGAACGGTGATGAGGAGGAAAGGGGCGGGCGTGCGAGGGGATGGTTGTAGTGGTGGGAGGAACTATAATGAGTGGTGCGCGTGAGGGAGAGCAAGATAAAAAGTGGGGTGTGGGGTGGGTTGGTTGGACGAGAGGAGGTGGGGAGAGAGAGAGAGGATTGCGGGAGGAGGCGGAAGCAGGGTAGTATCTACGGGGTAAAAAGGTTGGAAGCTGTGGCAAGCGGCGGGGCGAGGCGATGCGGGGACGAGAAGGAGAAGAGGAGAGCGGAGAGCGGAGAGCGGAGAGAGGAGAGCGGCGAGCGGCGAGGTGA